GCTTATCTAAGAAAAGAAAAAATTATCTATGAAATTTACCAAGAAGAAAGAAAAATCATAACAAGTAAAAGAACATCAACACCAAACTACAAAGAACCCAGAAAGAAAAGAAAATCAGTAGAGAAATAATTTGCTGTCTAATTTTAGAATAATATAATGAATGTATTATCTTTTAAAGATTAAAGATATTAAAAAAAGATTTGGTAAAAAAGAATTAGTATGAGTTGGTTTGACTTGCTTAGGTTTTACTTCATTATTTGTTCTTGTTTCTTTTTTAAATGAATTTTCTCATTTATATTTTTTGTAAACTGTAGTAGTTTATTCTTTTTCCTTGATAATGCTGGCAAAGGCTTATTTGCTAAATATAATTCTTGTTTCAATTGCTGCATTTCTTGGGCTTGTTGGTTCACCTCTTGCTGAATTGCTTGCAATTCATTTTCCTTCCCTTGTAAGGTCAAGAGAATACCTTGTATTTCCTGATTCTTGACTTTCTCTGACTTCTCTAAGTTTTCAGCTAATTGTATTTTACTTCATTCTTGGGCTACTTCCAAGGCTTCAAGGTGACATTCAACTTTTTCTTCCTATTCCTCAACTCTAGCTTTCAAATAATCAACCAATAATTCCTTCTCTTCCAATTTTTTTTCTAGTTCTTTAATCTTCTCCTTTGAACCTACACTCCTTCCCATAATAAAGTCATATTTTCAATTTGCTTGTTCAGTCTCTTTATTTAGTTCTCTAATTTTTTTTGTTGAATCTCTTTAAAGACTAGTGCCGTAAATTATGGTGATGGTAGTAATTGTATTTACGGCATATAAAAAGTGGTCACAATTACCTTTGCGACCACTTTTGCAACCATACTTTTTCCTTTTTTGGATTACGGCACTAGTCTTTAAATCTCTTTCAGTAAAGCAATTTCTTTACTTTCATCTTTATCTTCTGACACCTTTATTTTTCTTAATAATTCTTTTTGTTCTTTTAACTTCTTTTCAATGCTAAGATAGAGGCCTTCTTCTGTTCTATCTAACTTAGAAGTGCTTTCTTTTAAGTCTTTTTCAACTTGATGTAATTGTTTAGTTTGATTGATAAATCTTTCTTCTCAATCTTCTAATCTTTCTAAATTATTTTACTCTTGATGTTCTAATTTTATATTGTCAATTACTTCTTTTATTTTTTTACTTTTTATTATTGTATTTATATTATTTTAATAAAATTTTATATTGGTTTTGGACAAGTAATATCTTTAAATTCACCTCTTACAAATGGGGCAAATATTATTATAAAGGTATTCTTGCCTTTTATAATCCAAAGGAGGTGGCGTTAACCCTAAAATAAAAAAAGCTTTAATTTCTTCAAAAATATCTGCTTTCTTAGTTTTCAATAAATTGAATTCAGTAAAAGGTCCATTAGCAACCTCCTGAGTTTTAACCACACCAAGATTAGATGCTTCAAAAAGAGAATGTTGATACTTCTGTATACTTGGTAATTTCTTAAAATAAATTCCCAAAATAGCTTTAATATCTAAGTATTGAAAACCTTTTCCACATTCATAATACTGAGCTTTATTCAATCCTGCTGGACTAGACTTTTTACCACTTCAACCATATGATCCAGACAATCTACACTTATTCTTCTGTAGAGTTTTTTAATCATGCTAAAACTATCATCACATTTGAATTTGGTATGCCCAGGAATCATGAAATTTAATTCAATGCTTTCATAATAAACACAAATTACCAAATATAAATAAAACCAAATAGTTACATTATTTTTATTCTGTCCACCAGCATTATCACAGGTGATCTTTAAATGTTTTTCACCTTTGTTCAATTTCTTAATTCCATCAAAGATCATGCTAAGTGCACCATTAGGACCTTTTCCTATAATTTCATCTTCATCAAGAACATAATTAATTTGTTCCCTTACTGATTCATCTTGAATACCAAATAAATGAACTTTACATGTACTAAGATAATAAATCTTACTTACTTGTTGATTGAATGTGGCACATGGACATTTTGGGCTCAATCATAACTATAATGAGCAGTAGCATCAATACTGCAATATTGTGTTTTACCCTTTGAATAATGTTGATCAACTAATTTTCTTTGTTCTTCTGCCAATTTGGTATTTTTATTATAATAATTTCGTTCTAATCTTGCCTTGGACAGATGTTCTTAGTAATTCTTTAGCTTCTTCTTCTTGATAAGCATTGTAATATAAACCATTTCGAAAATGTTGACAAGCATCACACAAGTCAGTCCTTGGACTCATAATTTGAATCTCTGGTGTTAATTGAAGTCATAATTTTCTGAAGACATCATACTTCAGAAATTTCAAATTGATATCTTCTTCTAGACTAGCTAGAAAGTCTCTATACACTGATTTATAACTCATTTCAGCTGGCAAGAATGTAATTGATTGAGTTATTCTATTGTTACTACTCCCTGAACTTTGCAAACCATGGACTTCTGCATAATTTTCCAGAAAATTCTTTACTACTTCTGCAACACTTTTGTCAATCATCATTTTAGTTTGTCATTGAGGCATCCTTTTAGTAGGTTGAAGTATATATACACTGCAACCTACTTACGTTAGACTGTTACCTACTTATGTTTAGACTGTTACCAAATTATTTTTGGGTACCCGTTTGGTATCTAGTTGGCTTGATATTCACGAATTCGTCATCATTTGGGTTACGATTGATTAACGAATTCGACGTCATTTGGGTTACAATTTGACCCACGAATTCGTCATCGTTTGGATGACGATTAATCCACAAATTCGTCATCATTTGGGTGACGATTTATCCGCGAATTCGTCGTCATTTGGGTAACGATTGATCTACAAATTCGACGTCATTTGGGTAACGATTTATCTGTGAATCTGGGTGATGATTGATTCACGAATTGTCATCATTTGGGTAATTATTGATTTATGAATTCGTCATCATTGCATTGTCATTCCTCCCACTTTTGCCAAAAATCAATTCGTAAAAAATACACATCTCCTATACCACTATAAATAACACCACATCTCTTAGGCGATTTGCCAACTTTTTCGATTGCGAGGGATGAGGCACGTAGTGCCGAATTGGCAATCTGTATTTTGACTTTGTGCCTTGAGTTCGAATGCCAGGTTTGAGGCACGAAGTGCCGAAATAGTGTTCGTGATCTGGTTTTGCGTGATGCATTTGAATACCGATTGAGGGTGAGGCACATAGTGCCGAATTGTTACCTTCACTTGGTGATACGTAAAAGCACAAATTTTTCTTACTACTTCCTTATATTATTCTACCTTTGCGCATCACCAAAAGTGTACCATGTTTTGCGGTCCTGGAACACTTTCTCGCATAGTTGGTACTTTTGGGTATTACCTCTCCATGTCAAAAATTGGATCATACCTTTGCGTATTACTGGATCGAAAATTTTGACGAAAAAAAATACGCTTTTAGTAATCATTATTGACGTCCATAACGATGGACCATTTTTCCATGTCAAAAAATTGATTATACTTTTGCGTATCACTAGATTAAAAGATTGGATCATACTTTTACGAATCACTATAAAAATTGGATCACACTTTTATGTATCACTATAAAAATTGGATACGTTACATCGAAAAATTTATTGCACTTTTGCGTATTACCGATTTTTATCTCGGTCAAAATCATGCGACACAAAAATCCCCTATGTACGGTCCAGGTATTGAGGTATTATTTTTGCATTTGAATTTTTCCCACACTTATTGTAAAAACTTCAAATCTCTGTCTCATCGAAAAGTATATTAAGTTCATAATCTATAGGATTAATCATTTCTTCTATTTCGTATTCCAACCAAAGATGCAACCACTCACTCTTATTATTAACATGAAAGGTTTAATTCCTCCAAACTGACAAAATATATTTAGTGTTTGGCGCATATGACACATTAGAATTACTTTATGGGGCAAAGATTCTGTTATTTGCAGGTGAAGAACATTTTTCTATGATATCATGTTATTCTCTTTTCTGGCAGGTTCTCAAGCACAACTAATGAACAATATAAATAAAGATGATTTGGCTCATAAGGTAGTTAGCAATAACATTGCTCGTATGTTTTTTCAGAAAAACAAGCTTACTTCTTAACTCCTGTAATTTATTTTCAAGGTATGTGAATATTGCCTATAATGCACCTTTGTTTTTTTCATTTGAGAATGATGTTTTACTAACTACAAGTTTTTATATTTAGTAACGCAAAAAAAATGGCTAATGAGTTTGAAATCAACTTTAAAATCTGTTACAATCCAACTACTACTCACACGATAAAAATTAAGTGGGGGTGACAAAGCCAAAGATGTTAAAGATAAAATTAAGAATCAATTTAATATTACTACCGCTTCCATATAATAAAACCTCTAGGATCATCCGGAGAAAGTTCTTGAAAATTACAATCCCGATAATGTTGGAAATGCAATTTTTATTATTATATATTTAACCCCCCCCCCTGGAAATTAATTTTTTAATCATGTAACTAAGATGGTTTTTTTTATTTGTACGTTGTTTCTTGTTCGACGACATTTTTTATATATCAATAAATCTGGGCCATATAGACTAATTTTAAGGAGTTACTCTGTCAAAGTGCAGACACCAATATATGACTTCGTCTAAAAAGTTATACATTGAGATAATTTGCTTTATTGTATATTTTACTTCAGAAAAAAATCTTGATCATCAATGCCCATATAATGCAATAAAATTCACAGCCATCTGGCATTCTCTTGTCTCAATAAATCAAGTTCGGATTGCGTGATTGATAATAACTTTATATAAGGTGCAGATTTATTTTAAATTTTCAATGAAGCTACATCGTAAAAAAACCATACGACTGAATTTGCCAAGAAAACTCTCGATCATCGATGACCATATAATGCAATAAAGCAAACCTTTTCAGGTAAAAACTTTATTAGGTTCTTATTAAAAAATTATTGTTTAATAATAATCTCAACTAACAATACCGTTCTATTATAACTCTAAAATGAATTGACGAATCTTGCATAATGCTTCTAACACATTTTTTCTTCCATGCGGTTCTGCAAGATCAAAACCAACAAATGGAACACTACTATTCCCTGGCCATCTAAAGATTGTAATTGATTGCTGTCGTGGGCAACCTATACCAAGTTCATCCCAATATCCTTTATGAATCACAGAACGATAAAACGTAACATAAGTGGAAATTACACGAACTACAAATATAATCACATCATAAGTCATAGTAGCTTGACGTGTATTTTCTTCCCCACAAGCAAGCATTTCAGCAAATATTTGTGGTCCCCATAGTTATTACTTGGCCTAACATTAGCTAGATGTTTATCCTATTAAAAAGATCGCTTGGGTTAACAAAAATATGTATTTATCAGACAATCAAGAAAATACGGACATCAACAACCAATATAGAATAGTTTTTATAATCAATTACAAATTTGGCTTTTACTGACAAAACTGCATGGCCAACGGAAAATTTGAATGTTGGATGTAATCTAAGTTTAGATGTAATGCAATTTTTAAGGAACTATTAAAGTATATCATAAACAAAAGACATTTCCACCAATACTCACTTAACCTCTAAGGGCCATTGATTAAAGTCGACAATAAGAAATATCAAATGAGCCACCAATGTATCAGTTAAAGCCTCACTTGTTCCTATATCAAGTCTCGCGTTCTTGACAACTTTGTGCAATTTGTTGATGAATGTTTTAATGTGGTTATTTTGACTCAATTGGTTAATATCTAGGTCTTCCCTTCCGAGCAAAGCATGGTCGATATTCGGGAGAATGTACTCTTCTGGAACGTTGACTATATGAATTTAAGTCGTAAGTATTGAGTTTGCTAAAAGGAATGATATAACATACCAGTTCTCCTAGGAATAACATAGTTCGCATGCGTAGAGCAGAAACTTGCTTTCAATGCACGAACATCTCGAAGATTGAACATTGATGCAGAATTGCTGAGAAAGTCTGGGTCTTGTAGATGTTCTGAATCTTCACTACTACTGGTTTGTGGCATGACTAAAAGAAGATTTTCTGTTTTATCGGATAATCAGACAATTTAATTGATGATCCGCGAATAAATGAGTGTGTCATACATAGTAAAAAAAATTAGCATATCAAATGATTGACAAAAAAAAAAATCTAGTGCTGATTTTACTATTAAAAAATTTTACTTTATGATCTTTTACAAGAAAATAGCACTATGCTTTTGTGCTCAAATTTATATCCCTTATTTTATTAGATGGAATAAACATCAAAGAATATATTGATACATTTTTTTTTGATTTTTAGTCAGAAAATAAAAAACTTTACAATTTTTAATTGAAAGATTGAGCCAATTTGAACTTTAATATTATTTTTTTATCATGATTTTTGCAGGCCACCAAAATAATTGAATACGTATAACATACTTAATTTTAGAACATTTAAATCATCATCATCAATAATTTTATGTCAAACTAGAGAATTTCAAATGAGTACAATTCAAGATTCCATGTTTGTGCTTCTATTAAAAAATGTTTTTTAGGTCCTGAAATATATGCATACTAATATTAATACAGTCAAAACTCGTTTCAACGAATCAAATCCGTTGTAACGCGAATTTAATTATAATTCGTTGAAACGAAGTTTGACTGTATAGTAATAGGGTTAAACGAAATGCGATACGTTTAAAAAATCTTTATTCGTAATACAACTCAATTAGATAATAATGATTATAATGGTTCTAATGGCAATTGATTTTTTAGAAAAGGTTGTAAGTGAATCTCTATCTTGGCATCCGTTGTTAATGATATTTGCATTTAGCTGATTATAATTGATTCATGAGGTAGAAAGTGTCACTTGAGCGAATCTGTTGATATCACACAATTGTGGCGTTTCGAAATTGTTGTTATGTGGCGTCGTGTTCATGCATAAAAATCTAGATCGCAAATATGCAAAAATCCAATTTATTCGAGTTTGAATTGCCTCATTTAAACATTTCTCTTTCTTTAATACAACACGCTGATTCTTTAAATCATGGTACAACGATTTGGGACTCAAGCATCATCACTTCAAAGTATTTGTATCAAACGCTAAGTCCTTCTCTTCGTCTATATTCAAATAATAATTCTTCTATTGTCTCCACAAAAAAAACTTGCATAGAATTAGGCAGTGGATGTGGTTTATTAGGTTTGGTAATGTGTTCATTAGGATTTTCAACAACTTTGACCGATTTATCAGAAGTAGTAAATAATGTTTTATCTTTAAATGTTACTAGAAATTTAACAATATTAAACTCTAATAATGACGATGATAGTAATCCATTTAAAGCAGAAGCAAAAGTATTAGATTGGACAAAACTTTACGAATCATCATCATTACTGCCATATTATGATTACATAGTATCAACGGATTGTATATATAAATTGGACTTATTATCACACTTTATTAGTTGTTTGAAACATTTTTCAAATACAAAAACTCTGGTCGTTTGCGGTTTAGAAAAAAGAGATCCAATTGTGGTAGAAAGATTTTTAGAATTATGTAAAAAAATTGATGAGAATAATTGTTTTTTCGAGGTTAATAAAATTCCCGAAAAAAATCTAAAGAAATTTTTAATTCAAATGGAGATAAAAAATAATAGCAATTATAATTACGATAATGATGGCAATAATGATGACAATAAAATTAATGTGGAAATTTATCGATTAAAGAAAAAATATTTTTCTGAAAAAATCAGGAATGATAATTGAAAAAATTATTTTCAATCGTTTATGATTCAAATCTATCATTTAATATAAATAAAAAAAAAAGTTCATATATAATTAAAATGATAAAAAAAATAATGATTTGTATTAAAAAAAATAAAGGAAGTTATATATGTGTGTTTAGTGAGAAATATAAAAAAAAGAATTTAAGCCTATTTATTATATATATTGATTGAGCTGTATTATTCTTTATAAATATGAACAAATGCATAAAATTTAACAGAATTGAGGAAAGTGAAACATTATATCTATGAAAGGAATATGCACATTATTAATTAATTACAAATTCTAAATTTTAAAGATGATTAAAATCTTTCATAAGTAATAAATATCAATTGTTATTTAAATGTTTGCCCACAAAAAATAAAAATAAAAACAGCCTTTTAATGTGTGTGTGTATATATATATAAAGTTCTTTGATTTAAAATTTGACAATTTTTTTTTACAACAACTAGCATCACACATATGTTGGTGCTAACTATATTTTTTACAATACAACAGTATTCAATTTTGAATGTCTACCTGAAATTCCCATCGACTATCTAATAATCCCTGAGCGGTATCCGCCAACAACACCTCCCTTCGACTTCCAACATATACTGTTTTATTTAGTACTTGTTGTTTTAATTCACCAATCTTATCAGGTTCAATAGGTTTCTCTAATAATTCTGAAAGCTGTTCAACTGCTACTTCAAGATCGCGTTGATTATCCTCAAAAATTTCTGTTTCATTATTACGTATTAGATAAAAAGCAAAAGCATATGTCCATTTAAGAGTCATACGACATTGGACAAGAATATCAACAGCTTTCTTCAAAAATTGTACTTCAATCCAAGATAAATCAGAAGTTTGTTGCATTTCTTCCATTTTCTTTTCAGTCTTGTTATATAGTTCACGATCAAGTTTAGCAGATTGCTCATGATTAGCAAAACGGTTATAATACTACAATCACGCACATATATATAACGAAAAAAAAACAGATAATTAGTAATTATAAATAAATTCATATTTACATCCGTACTCATATTCATATTAAAATGTATACATACATGAAGATACCTCTCAAGAGATGAACGAGATTTAGCTTGTGAATCCCTTGCATCAACACTATTTTTTTCATCATAACGATTACAATTATACCAACTAGTTCCATGCTCTGACCAAGGACCCATACAAACCCAACAGAATTCATATTTGCATTTACGACAAGTCATATGATTACAACCACCATTCTTTTCAATTGTTGACTGACACTTTCCACATTCTTTTGTATGAGCAGAAATCCAATTTGCTGTCTCTGAATCATCCTCGCATTTTTTAATCCATTTTTTAACAAGCATGCAAATAGATGGTTGATGGTCTGGTAAGCCACAACCAAAACAAAAACGATTACAACATGCACATTCTACTGTAGGAACAATGCTAGTAAGTGATGTTTGTGGAACGTGGCATTCAACCGCATATTCACAACTTGGTGCTGGGCACCAACGTAAACTTTCACTATCATCAACATATGTTCGATTTAGTAAAGTTCGATATCTATCATTAAAAATTTAAATTTTTTTTAATTACTACAAATTTAATAATAATAATAATGATAACAATGATAATTAATGATTACAATTTACCTTTCATATACGTCTTTACTAACCAACTTTGCAACAGTCGTTTCATCTACAATTACATTACATTTATTTGCCATACATGATATTCTACGACTTTCACCTTCTTCTTTGATTTTTTGTGTCAAATAATGTTCATAACAATCTTTACAAAATCTGTGATCGCATGATAGAGCTATAGTGTTTAGATCATCATCATTACAACAAACATCACAAGTAAAACTACGTGATCTCATGAATTTTGGTGCCTTGTTGATATCAGTAATGACTCCTGCTGATTTCAGCACAGCTTTCTCTTCCTCCATATAACGTTCTATAAGTCTTTCTTTATTCCAACGAAAATGACGAAGTAAAGTAGCAGCATGTTGTTTTTGAATACCAAGAATATTGGATACATGAGAAATTTCATCTTCCTGGTTTTTAACAATGTTTTCAATAGAATGAACCTTAAATTCAACCTGATAACTTTTTTTGCGTTCTTTTTCCGGTACTACTTCTGAAAAGTTTAAATCTACTTCATCCTCGTCCACATATTCATCCTCGATATCGTCATCGCCTTCCAGCTCTTTAAAATCCGTAATTTTAAAAGATTTGTTAGATTAAATTATTTAATTTATACATCTATCTTTTTTTTTACAAGAAACTTCTCTGTTGATTTCATTTTATAAACACACATACACATATACATAATGTTAAACAACCATCATATAATTATACGTACCAGATTCTTGAGAATCCTCATACATTTCCTCGTCAGAAAGATCTGACATTGGTTCAATTTTGCGTTTTTTATGCTTTGGGGACGACGTTTTGTTTATTGAAATATCTTTAAATAATATTTTTGTTATTTGTTTATTACAAGCTTCCCTACAAAATAAAAGCAGGAAAATCAAGTAATTGTAGGATTTCAATTTTTTATAAATAATATTATTATATGTATATGACAGACCAGACAAAATGAACAAATAATTTTGTGATACAAAGTGATCAAATTTACTTAATGCCGCCGCCATTGTACTACTACTAATCTAATGTGATTGTGATATCCATCATCTCTTGATTATAGTAAATTTTAGAAATTTTTTTATCTTTTAAGCATGCAGCTTCTCATTTATCCATTTTAGCATATAACGTCTTAAAAAATTAAAAGCTTTACCCATATAAGACATGTAACTTCATATGTAACCATTGAAAAATTATCCAATATATTTTATCTAAATCAAGGATGGAAAGCTTCAAAGCATAGCAGTGATGAGGTATGAATGAATATAATTAAAATTAACAACATATATGAATACCAATTAATTATCAATTAATTGTTTAATTGTTTTTTAGATTACTTGTGTTTATTGTCATAATAAATGAAAAGATGTTTCAACTTCAGATTTTCTTGGAGCATTACCACCTGAGCTCTCAATTAAATATTTAAATACTATGATGATGATTATAAAGTATTAAATTCTTGCATCCTCATCAATAAACAATGACATAATACTAATATTCAACCTTATGGAAAAATACATTTTGTTCTAACAACAGCACCAAAATAATAATTAATTGTTTATTAGAAGAGGATAAGGATTTCTTAACAAGGAATAGCATTAAATTAGATTTTAAATTGTTGGATAAACCACCATCATGTAATTATGCTAGATTTTGCACCTGACTTTATTTTCTTCAAGGTTATTTGTTTAAAGGCCTAATTAGAACCTCAGAGTTAAATAATTTATGAAAGATTAGTAAAATTTACCTTAGATCATTCAACAAATATCAGAGAGTTGGTTACTTTTGACATAGATCTTCATCAGTTAAATAATCATCATGAATTCAAATTCAATAATATCTTTCAGAAACTTAACATATTAGATTGTAAACTTACTGGTAATTATGAACTTATTGGTAATTAGCAAATATTTGTGAAAATATTCAATCATTAAAAATTGATATTAATTGTGATGATGGATTTGATTATCATAAGTCTGACAACTAATTAACAAACAAAATCAAATAAAGAATTTGGTCATTTGTTCATCACATGATAAAGGAACTTTATCAGATAATTTCAAAAAAGCAATCCTTGTTCATTCACAAACAATAATTGATTATTCTATAGTGCAGGACACCTAGTCCCACAACTTTTTATTGGTCTTGTATATCCTTTAGTATACCAGAAATGGAAATG